ATATAGCATGAGGCTCCTAAGAGTCAACACTGCAGAGGAGAAAGGTTGGTTGTGCAGACAGAGTAGGTTTGTGAATCGTCGGCGATAATATGTTAATTTCGCCTGTAAATGAATGATAAAAATATTAACATGAAAGTTTTCTAACTGTATCTAGGCCTCTAGGCCTATGACTTCGTAAACTTTAATTTATGAAATAAAATATGCTGGTCATCTTGAAACCAACAAATAGCCTAGGCCTATTTGTAAATTGTAATCTAAACAATAAATCAAAGTTGAAGAATTATTGCATTGAGAGAAATTTTTGTACTTTATTATTTTGTAATTTCTTATTTATTATTCATTATTTACTATTCATTGAAATTTTGATTTGTAATTTGTAAAACATTTAAACGTTTTGATTTAAAATATGTATTAAAACAATCAATATATTATAATACAATTAATAGGCCTAGGCCTATATCTTTAAAATATATTTTATCTTTAAAATCTTGCACAATTAATTGATTTGTAAAGCACAATTGGGCATGTTTGCATAGCACAGGACTCCTTGGACAACTTTTATTGGAGGATTCAATTTTTATTTTTAATTATAATTTAAGCTACCTTTGACTGACACTTCATGTAGCTTTCTGGAAATTTAGTTATATAATTTAACAGCAAAGCGCAACATTGCATCTTTTTATAAATCATTGCTGCTTGAAAATTCTTCCTTTTTTTTATTATCATCGTAATTAAGCTGATTTAAGTACTACCTTAAGGTCTAGTAGTATTTATTACCGCGAAGTGGGGCGGGCGGTACATGCCTTATATTTTACTACGTGGATAGCGAGATTTTTCGATCGCCATGCAAAGTTAAAATAAAATCCCAAATCCTCCTCCTTTTTGAAATTTAAGGAAATTAATACATTTTTGTTTCTTTGTTGGATCGATTGCAGCAACCCCAAACCCAACATAACGGTACGGTATTTCACATTATATAGCATTAATCATCTATAATAACTGCTAACTTCCTACCCTATCGCGTTGTTTTGTTTTGGTGACAACATGGCCGGTGTAAGTCACGTGATTGAAACCGAGTTGGCCAAACTCTCTCTCTATCTACGGCTCTGCTTGGGACCCCTGACGGGGATTTGCCCATTTTGCCCAAACGTTTATGTATATTCATTCACCTACTAACTGCTGTTTTATTCTTCATCAATATATAGGCCATTTGGCCCATATATTATAATACATTAAAGAGTATCAAGTGTTGCAAAAGTAAACCAGCTCTTGAAAGCAGTGAAAAACCAGTTACTTTTTCATATATTAATATGTTAGACATTAAAACTTATCAATGCAAGGAAGAATATTAAAAAAATTTAAAAAATAATTTCTGACCCAAGAATAGAAAGGACAAATTAATGTAAAATGGAATTCATCTTCGCGATTGAACTTACTTAAAATTAGGGTAAATCGTTTTACCTAAAAGGGCCTCAATGTGTTATGATGGTGAAAAAAATATGTTTGCGATAAATAAAACCATAATGAAAATGCATATATTCAGTAAAAAAAAAATGTTTTTAATTCTAATTTCGTTTGAATTGATCAAAACACGATTGAACACTTTGTTCCTATTTGTTTTGGCCTTATATAAGCCCTAAACACCCCCTACCCCCAAATAAAAAGAATGCACGCTTCCCGCACATTTTTTAGGGTGAGAACTTGTGCTTGTCCTTTGCCTTCTCAGTTAATTGATCGTTTTACCTAAAAGAAGGGCCTCAATGTTTAATGATGGTGAAAGAATATGTTTGTTATAAATAAAGCCATAATGAAAATGCTTATGTTCACATAAAAATTTATGTTAAAATAAAAAAAACAAAAAAAAACAAAAAAAAAAAAACACAAAAAAAAACGTGTGTGGCCATATATAACATAGGCCTAAGTCCTAAACTTAAAAAAAAGGAAAATCTATTCCTAATATGACATCTTAATTTCATCAATGTAGCTTCCGTATTTTTCCTACAAGAGAGGGAAAATACCCTCTCACACCCTTCTCCCAGCTCAGGCTAACGACCTGAAGTCCCCTGTCAGACAGCTTAGCCCGGCCCCTTCCCCTCCCCCCTTCCCAACAATTATATCCTAGAGCCTGAGAAGCACCACCTCCCTCGTCGTATTTAGCACTTACCCTGATAGTCACGTATTCTGGAATGCTGCCCTCTTTCAAACAGCAATATTATGATAATTGAAGTTCAGTTTCTAATACGCATATAATAAGTGGGTGCTGCAGAATAGTGATGACGGCAGATATCCACAACAAGGGGACCAGGATATCTGAAAATGGGTTCAAAGTCCGACCCCGACGAGAGATCCGAAATCCGTGTCGAAGAGTCCCACAGCCGGCAGTGTCACCGTGTTGAAGCAAGGTTCAAATTAATAGGCCTAATCAACGCTTCCCCCTCCCCACCACCCTGATGACTGGAACATCCAACGAAATGATTCACTGTATTTTTATATTATTTGCCCAAAATTCTACAGTAACGGAAGTTGCCAATTACCGAATAATTACAGATAATAGATAAATATTTGTGAAATACACAAAGTTACATATAAAAATACTGTACAGTACGGTAGTAAGTAGTAGTAACTTTATTGCTTCTCTTTTATAACAGAGGCACAACCGTAAATATGTGCAACAATAACAAAATCAGTAAAAACTTAATTACTGTGATAAAATATAGTAAGAAAATACTGCGGTAGAACGAAATATATATAAAAAAGGGTTTACAAAAATAGTAATAGAGATAAAAATAAATACTAATACTGAAATAATATAAGTAAGTAGGTTAATATATACACTTATACACACACACACATACACACATACATACATATACACATATATATACATATACATATATGTGTGTATATATATATATATATACATATACATATATATATATATATATATATATATATATATACACACACACACATACACATGCATACATATACATACATACACACACAATAAATACATACATGCATAGACACACACACACATACACACGCCCCTCCCACACACATATTCACACATACATACATACATATACACATACATACACATACATATACATATAACAGAGTAAATATTGTAAATTTAATTCAATAATATTAAAACCAGACATATTAGTCTTGCAATAGAAAAGTATTATATATATCATTTCGTTCTTTCCATGCCATCGTTAAAAGTAATTTACAATGATTATCGAAAACTTTACTCGCAATATTATAATTAATAGGGTTTATACAATTTGTTGTTAAAATTTCATATTCGTAATGGATTTCTAAATCATCAAACAAAAGATGGTATTTAAGTTCAGGGGAGCTTGATGTGAATAATTCCCAAAATATATGTAAATCCTTTTTGTATAACTCCTCTTTAAGTTGGTCAAATATTAAATTTCCAATGTTCTTTAATCTGGTACAATCAAATACAAAATGATTGATGGTTTCCTTTGTCAAATTACACAAATTAGAGTTAAACATTTTGTTAAAGTGCACCTCTTAAATTAAAAGTCAAAATATAAATTTATGATGGACATATTATATTTTTAAATATTTATGCATTAACTTTTAAAAGTTGAATACTTTTTGACATAATATCAGTGTTCGCATCTGACTGAATTAACAAATTAAAAGATTAGAATCGGGTTCGAATACCCTGTTTGGAAACATTAACCATATTAATTGAAAAGAACATAGGCCTAAAAAGTAACTCTTAGGTGCCTTGGTTGAGGCTGTGTCAAAAAGTCTTTACCGTCATGATATTTTACCGTACGTGACTTTTGTATGAAAACCCGCTGTCGACTCCATCGGTGGATCCAGAGATGTCCAAAAGGGGGCGCCGAAAGTTGGGCCGATCGAGACAACACTGTCATAGGAAGGGGAGGGGGATGTCCCCGCGAAATGTTCGTGTTCCAGACGCCCGAAAAAACATTTAAGGCGTTCTGGGCTATCATTTTTGTCTCTTTCTTTATTTTCATCTTTTTTTTTTCTTTTTTTACCTCCCAAAAACGGTGGAGGGGCGGGGCCGGGGAGTCCCCCCCCCCCACCACAAATCCGCCCTAGACTCGAAGATCAATCCAAGACGGTCCGAGAATTTGATGCATTCACGTTGATAAAAAAAAATGGAAGCTGAACCGCCGTAGATAACTGTGCCTTCACAACATGATGACGATTCGTAGGTCTAAATTTAAATTTTAGTGGAAGCGGTTTGGCACAGCGGGTTTCACAACCTCGAGGTCGCCGGGTTTCAATCTCTCACTGTGCATTTCGCTTGTGTCATTCAACAAGGCATCTGCATTGCTTCTCTCTACCCAGGAGTTGGATTTACCTGCTCCTGCGCTAATTGCCAGCAGCAACACTTAGCATGTGGACTCAATGACCATGGAAAAATGTGGTTTATAACCTCAAGGAAGAGGCGCATAAATACCCATACAATTACCAGAACCAAAGATCTGAATAACTGTTATAGTTCAGTCCATTGGTTAAATTTGTTTAAAAAAAAGAAAAAAAAAAAAAGATACTCCAATCAGAAACTTAGTCACAATAAAAATATAAATAAAAAAACAAAAACTATTAAGGGGACGGCGACATTTTATGAGTGTGCCAAAAGGTGAGATAACCCCTATTAAGGGGACACAAATTATTTTATTATTGTATCACAACAACTACAGCAGTCTCAAAGTAAGAAAACTTCCTTCAATTTTATATTTCAACACCTTTTGAGTAAATCAGTCTTTTCTCCCCTGATTCCTAAAAGGAATAGCTCACAACGAATGTAGTCCTGTAAATAAATGAATAAAGAAATTGTGTAATACAATTCCTCAGGCGGGACTCGAACCTGCGACCTCTCGCTGTGCAAGGCGAGCGTCATAACCATTAGACCACGGAGGCTTCATTGTTAAACAGATTCAAATACCACCAGATACACTCCATTA